CCTCCACGAGACTGAATCCAATACAACTAGACTGTGTCTGGCTACCACTGCTGGCTGCTCTGACAAGGATCACAAAAGAGGGTCCCGGACAGAGCTGGAGAAAAATGTAGAACAAAATTCTAACTCACAAAAAAAGACCAAACTTACTGGCCTGACAGAGAGACGGGAGAAACTCTGAGAGTATGGCCCCCGGACACCCTTTTAGCTCAGTAATGGAGTCACTCCCGAGGTTCACCCTTCAGCCAAAGATAAGACAGCCCCATAAAACAAAATGAGACTAATGGGGCACAACAGCCCAAGGACAAGGACTAGAAGGCAGGAGGAGACAGGAAAGCTGGTAATAGGGAACCCAAGGTCGAGAAGGGAGAGTGTTGACATGCTGTGGGGTTGTTAACAATGTCATAAACAATATGTGTACTAACTGTTTAATGAGAAACTACTGGTTGTGTAAACCTTCATCTAAAGTACAATTTAAAAAAAAACTAACAAAAAACTTCACCACCAATTTTTTTCATACATGACCAGAAAACCATATTAGGGAAAGTGAGGAAAAGCAAATCACAATGGTGGTATTCAGCCATAATTCCTTCCACCCATTAGGGTAGATAGAGGAAAAGAATGCTGAGTGAGTCATAGTGCCCCTTGGGAATCCACTCTTTGCATTGGAGAGAAAAGCGTGGGCTGGTGAGGTTGCCACCCTGAACTGAGCTTCAGCTGCCAGTTTGTGTGTGTTTTCCTATCTTAGTCCTATCAAGAGTCCTTCTAGCAGTGTTCTGAGAAGCAGCAACCTAGAATTGCGTCCATGTTCTATGAAGCTGGATGCAGAGTTCCCAGCCACTTTAAAGTGTTAAAAAGCAAAGATGTCACTTTGAGGACTAAGGTGCACTTGACCCAAACCATGGTCTTTTCAATCACCTCATATGCATCCGAACGTTGGATACTAAATAAGGAAGACCAGAGAATTGATGCCTTTGAATTATGGTGTAGGCAAAGAATATTGAATATACCATGGACTGCCAGAAGAATGAACAAATCTGTCTTGGAAGAAGTATAGCTAGAATGCTCCTTAGAAGTGAGGATGGCGAGACTTCATCTTACATACTCTGGAAATATTATCAGGAGGGACCAGTCCCTGGAGAAGGACATCATGCTGGGTAGAACAGAGGGTCAGCGAAAAAGAGGAAGACCCTCGATGAGATGGATTGACACAGCGGCTGCAACAATGGGCTCAAACGTAGCAATAATTGTGAGGATGGCACAGGACCGGGCAGTGTTTCGTTCTGTTGTACATAGGGTTGCTATGAGTCAGAACTGACTCGACAGCACCTAACAACATAGTATAGGAAGATGGAAATGCCTTCTAAGCAGTTGGCATGAACCTCAGGAGCATCACCATAGTAGTGGAAGCTGAGGACATGAACGTGCTGACCCAGAGAGTGTTTAGAGTGAGAAGGGAAGAGTACCCGATAGGGAGACACCTCCAGGAGTTATACTGACATAATCCCCCCAAGCCATATTGTTGTTGTTGTTAGCTGCTATTGAGTTGGTCCCCGACTCATGGTGACCCCATGCACAATGGAACGAAATGCTGCCTGATCATGTGTCATCTCCATGATCAGTTGAGGATTGAACTATTATGATCCATAGGGCTTTCACTGACTGATTTTCAGAAGTAGATCACCAGGCCTTTCTTCCTAGTCCCTTTTAATCTGGAAGCTTTGCTGAAACCTGTTTAGCATCATAGCAGCACACAATCCTCCACTAACAGACAGGTGGTGGCTGAGCATGAGGTGCATTGGCCACATGAGGTGCATTGGCCAGGAATCAAACTTGGTCTCCTAGATGGACGGTGAGAATTCTACCATTGAACTACCAATGCCTCACCCAAGCCATTTAATATCCAATAAAAGTAATGTTCACCTTTCAAAATCTAAGAATGTACCTTATAGGGGAATTTATCCCTGGGTTATTCCAGACACGTTAACTGAATCAAATGCATGAGGATGGTTGAAGACCACCAATATAAAAAATTGAACAAAACATGCCTAATTTTATGAATCATGCTTTTGTTCACATTTTTATTCATAAAACTTTATTTTTATTTTTTTATTCATAAAACTTTATTTTTATTTTTTTATTGAACTTTAGATGAAGATTTACAGAACAAACTAGCTTGTCATTAAACAGTACACATATTGTTTTATGACATTGGTTAACAACCCCATGACATGTCAGTACTCTCCCTTCTCGACCTTGGGTTCCCTATTACAGCTTCCTGTCCCCTTCTGCCTTCTAGTCCTTGCCCCTGGGCTGGTGTGCTGCTTAAGTCTCATTTTGTCCTATGGGTCTGTCTGTCTAATCTTTGGCTAAAATGCCCAGCTGAAGGAGAGGGGCTGGAATGGGTTTTTTGTGGCACATACTGGGGCCAACAGGGTGAGCCAGTGGTCAGTGCAGGGCAGGTTCCAGTAGGTCATGCCTGTGTCACTCAGGAGTACAATGTTCAGCACGTGGTGCAGATAGGCAGGAGGGAGGGGGAGAGGGAGGTTGTGATGTGTGGAGCTACGTTGCGTATGGAAAGAAGAGAGGAGGAGCAAAAAAAAGAAACAGTGCTGAGGGAACTTGACGTTGGAGTGGAGAGACAAGAAACCGAGAAATGGAGAAAAACAAAAAGGAAAAAATAAATAAATAAATAAAATGAATAACAGACAAAAAAATTTTTTAAATAAAAATTTAAAAAATGCCCCCAGGGATCCCACTGATGCGGCTGTGCAGATGGGGGAAGCAGCTCCCAAGCCAAGCAGTAGAGCCTGGCTAGAAGGGGTGGAAATGATACACAGTGCCAGGTATTCAGGAGACAGGAAAAGAAGGTAAGTAGAAAGAGACAAGAAACCAAGAAATGAAGAAAAATAAAAAAGAGAAAACAAACAAAAAGAAAGAAAAAAAAAAGCCCCCAGGGATCCCACCAGTGTGGCCACGAGGACCGAGGAAGCGGACCAGGGAAGCAGTTCCCCAGCTGAGCAGCGCTTCATAGCCTGGTAAGTAGAAGCAAAGATGGCACATGGAGTCAGATATTCGAGAGAAAGGAGGGGGAGGAGGTGAGAGGCAGGGAAGAAACCAAAAGAGGCCAAAAAAAGCAATACCAGCAACAAAGAAAAGGCAGTTAAGAAGCTGGCAGGTGTGAACGGGCTGAATCCAGGCTGCAGGGAACTGGCGCCTCCTGTGCTGTGGTCTCAGGCGGTTGGGAAGCGGCAGATCAGCCCTCCGGGAAGCTGGGAATCAGCCCGCACGAGAAGCAGTGAAATGGCCTGCCAGGAAGCTGCAAAGATCGAGCAGCGTGGGGGGTAAGAAAGTGTATCTCGCTGGTTACCAGGTGCTCTGTCTCCTGCTGGGAGGTCCGTGAATCTGCCCTGTCCATCAGTCTCCAACAGGAGTCCAAGATGGTGGATCCATGCTGCGTTAGCTGATGGGGACCTCCCGTCATAACTCTCTTCGCTGTCTGTTCTCTGTCAGTTTCTTTTTCCATTTGGTGCTTGGTTGAGTTCTTTATCTCTTCATTTGACACTTAGGGTTCCAGGATTGACATTTGTTTCTGTTTTACTTAGTTTTTCAAGTCTTTGCCGTGGAGTGATGGCATGGTGCTTCTGTCTATAGGGCAATGTTGGCTCTGCCTCTCCATATAACTGTTTTTGTTGTTAAAAGATTTTCCTTGATAATTCTTAAGATTAGTCTCTCTCTCTTTTTTTTTCACAAGGCTTTTCAGATCAAAAATCCTGAGTTAACCAACATTTCCTGTGTGTCCACTTCTGATCAAGGCAGGTTTTAGTTAAATAGGCTTAAGAATGGAATTTCAAACAGAACTATAAAAACTGAAGATGCTAATTATTCTAATTGTTCTCCCTGCTCTTGATATTGACCTGTATTTATGCTTTATGTCTACTTAAGAATTGAGTCTTTTTGTTGTTCTATGCAGACTAAATAGCTGTTTAAATACAGTTTACATTATTATTATGGAATACAACCTTAATGAGGAGAGAAATTTTAATGAAGACTAATTAATGACTAATTTTAACAAGTAAAGGAGTTATCAGTTTGGAGCAAGAGATTGATGGGTTCTGCATTTCAGGAGGTGTTTGCATACTCAGTGGCACTGTCAGAAGGGAGCAGGAGAAGGAGAAAAGCTGGACAGAGGGAACCGTGCAGATAGTAAGGGCCAGGTTCCAGTGAGACCAGGAGAGTCAATTGTATTTGCCGTTATCCACTCTCATTTCAAAAAGGATTCGAAGAGAGTTTTCTGTATGTCTCATGTGGGCTCCAGCCAAGCAGATCTTCAGTCTTGCTTCCCTTCTGACTCTGACCACCCCACCTCTTGTTTACCTGGGCCTCATTTCTGTCATTACCCTAGGTTTTTCTGCTTCCATCTTCACAGTCTGCCCCACCACACCCTTGAGCTGTCCTGTTTCTGGTCACCAGTCTTTGCATAGGGAAGTTCATCCTTTCCTCACACTAGCAGCTCCCTCATGCTCCATAGGATCTGGCTGTTGGCATATGTCATTTCCTGGCTTTTCCAGGCCCTCCAGCAGAGGAGCCTACCCTGCCCCATTCTGCCCACTTTCAACTGGGGATTCACAGAAACTCAGCACCAATGAGAAGAAGAAAATATATGTCAATTGTCTGAAGTTTCAGACTGACTTTGACTTTCTCCTAATCCTTTTAAATATGATATGTGTTTAAATCAAGAGTAGCAGAGACAAAAATGATTTGGGAAAATGATAATGTAATCCTAGCCTATTTCAGTGACACTGTAACATGGTTAAGAAAATTGACTGTCAGATTTGATCAATGTTGTTGAAGTGAATGGCCATCATTCCTGGAGTGGCTGGAGTCAAATTCTTACCCAGCAGGAGTGGTTTTAATGACTGAAGGATCCAGTAACTAGGAGAAGCAACTGAATCTCAATGCATTGCTGACCTCCTACATTGTATCTCTCTTCTGTTTTTCAGGCACAACCTGTTTGATTGCTCTGCTATCAGATAAAGACCTCACCGTGGCCAATGTGGGCGACTCACGTGGGGTCCTGTGTGACAAGGATGGGAATGCTATTCCTTTGTCTCATGATCACAAGCCTTACCAACTGAAGGAAAGAAAGAGAATAAAAAGAGCTGGTGAGCTTGTGAACTCTCTGAGGAATGTCTGCCATCTTGTTTGGTGGGCAAGGTGGCTTGCTGGAGGAGCTCCTGGGGGATGAAATGTTTGGTTACCCAGCAATTAGTAGATCAATACAGGGACTGTTGCTGAAGTAGCTGAGACTTTGTAACATTTTCTGTCAAATAAATGGCCACTGAATTTGCCCTTCTTCATGATCAAAGATTACAAAGGGGACGAAGAAGCCCAGTTTAAAGGCTAAGATCATTGGGCCCCCGTTTCACCCACCTCCATTCTCATCTCTTGCATGCCCCCCTCCTTCCAGCCACGTACCATTCCCTAAGATTTTCTCTTTTTTTGGATAACAATTACGTGTCCTTTAAGATTCACTTTAAAGATGTCGTTTTGGAAGCCTTCCCTGTCACACTGTGTCAAACGCTTCTCCCCCGCCTGGGTTAGATGTCCTTCACTGTTTTTCTCCAGCATCCTCTATGGACTTCTTGTGTCACCTTTCACAATGTATGGACATACCTGGCTCTCTCATCTGTCTTGCCTTCCTATGTATGAGCCCTTTGAGGGCAAGAACTAAATCTTATTTATCTCTATACCTCAGCACCTAGCACAGTGCCTGGTCTAAGTAAATATTTCAGAGGGGGGTCCCTTATTCATTCATTGACTCAACATTCTAGGGTTTGTGAATACAACAATGCCCCCCCCCCCAAAAAAAAAATAAAACCTTCATGAAACTTACTGGAGTTGGGGTTGGGAGTAGGAAGGAAGAGTTCAGACAGACATTAACATAAAAAACAGTAAATTATATAGTATGCTGGAAGACGATAAATGCTATGGAGAGACATAAAGCATCTAAGGGGATAGGGAGTGTCAAAAAACCAAACCAAACCCGTCGCCATCAAGTCAATTCTGACTCATAGCGACCTTATAGGACAGAGTAGAACTGCCCCATAGTGTTTTTAAGGAGCGGCTAGTGGATTCGAACTTTGACTATCTCACTAGGGCTCCAGGGAGTATCGGGGAGTTATAATTTTAAATAGAGTAGTCAGTATGGGCCTCTCTAAGAACATAATGTTTAGACAAAGACTTAAAGGAAGATTATCATGTGATTATTACATTTTCATAATTATATTTCGGGGGAGGTTGCTTTATACTTGTGGGAGAGAGAAATTCTTTCCTTCTCCAGACCACCCCCTGCAGTGTGGAGGCTCTGTGTAATTGTCAAGTAGAACGCCCAGCTGCCTAGAGGGCAGTCGAGATGTGCATGCACACTGCCTCTAGGCCTAGGATTGCCCCTGCTATCTGGGCTAATCTGCAGGTTGACTCTCAATCTCTACAGGTCAGCTTCTACCCAGAACCTAATCAACATTTGAGTTTTCACAGAAGGAAGCTGTACTGTTGAGTCAGAAAATGTTGAATTGTATTACAACCCCCTGTTTCAGTTCCTGCTTTAGATGCAGAATAATTTTAATGAAAGCTTTGGTCAGGTTTTCTGTTGATGGGTAGAATAAACAATATTTTAGGAGCATCTATCAGGTTTGATGAGCCAGGCAGTAGGAGCGAAATACTGTGGCTTTCATACTGATGAAGGCACCATCTCTGCATATAACCCCAGACTTATGGCTCACTGTGCTGACAGAGGGAAGGGGACATTAGGCAAGAATGTGTACACCATACACTTGGAAATGTCATCTTAGCATCTGGTACTGTCTTCTGAAATGTCACTCCCATTTTATCATCCCTCCCCTTTCCTGCCATATCCACTATTTCCCCAAACACCACCACCACCTCAACGCACTCACACCCACACACACCAATGCAGTGATTCTTTATAGAAGCAACTTTGGACGCCATCTCCAAAGAGGTTAATCTAACCTACTGTCTTCTTTTATGGAATTTGGTCAAGGGTGCATTTTATAGCAAGGCTTAAGGGACAATTGGGTTTATCACCTATATGTGTGTTTTCATTGACTGCAGCTTTCCTTTCAAAACATCTTCCCCTTTCCTATTTAGCATGACAATTAACTGCAGCCAGTCGGGGCCAAATACATGCTGACCTTTCTGTCTCCACTCTTTATGTTTCTTCCAATAACAACAATACTGATAGCAACTTCCATTTCATTATGTGCTAGGAGCCAAGCCTAGCGCTTTACATATACTTTCTCTTTACCTACCTTATGAAGTCAATGATATCCTTCCTCATTTTACAACCAAGGAACTGGAACCTCAAAGAGGTTGAGTTACCTGCCCAGTGGACACACAGCTAGTGAATAGTGAGACCAGAATTGAAACCCAGGTCTGTCCGACTCTTGCCCACTATACATACTTCCTGGCATGTTCTCATTACATCCATACCCATAGAAATTCTACCCATCATTCAAGGCCCAGCTTTAATGCTCACTCCTCCCTAACCATCAAAACCAGAAATCATCCCTTCCTCCTCCATCTGCCTATAGCATTTAGCAGGTACCAGTCTCCCCTTAAAAGAATACTGCTTTGTGCTTGTAGCTATTAATATGTGTGACTTATCCCTCCTGCCATACTCTCTGCTTCTTTAGAGAAGGGTCTGGGCCTTGTATAACTTCATATCCTGTAAATTGCCTTGCATGGAGTAGGTATTTAGTAAATGTACAATGAATAGCATGTGAATGAACAAAGGTCTGTCTCCCTTAAAGAAATAATAATAGATAATTATTGAGTGTGTATTATGTTTGGTCACTATGCTAAGTGATTTATATGAAATAACTCCTTTATTTCTCACAACAACGCAGTAAAATAGGTACTATTATTGTCCCCATTTTGCAGTCAGGGAAACCAAGGATGAGAGAGAGCTTCGCATTCACCATCACATGAGCCAGGAATCAAATCCAGGCAGTTTGACCCCAGAGCCTGAGCTTTTAACCACTGTCCTAAAATGTACTTTTCTTTAATCCTGATCCTATTGGGGGTGGGGGGGAGGGGTTTATTCTGAGACCTATATAGGCCCATCCAAGGGTGACTTCAAGCTAAACATGTATACCAGTATATGTCTCGGCCCATCCACCTACCTTTTCAGCATTCTTTTGCCACACTCAGATAATTCCCATCCTAGTGATCCCTACTGTCCCCTTCCCTCTGTCAATCACTGAAAGGCCAAGGTGTTACGTTAAAACTGATTCCCTCCCCCACACCCATCCCATATCCCCAATTTTCTTATTTATATATTCTTGAAGGCCTTCAAAATGTCAAGGATGAGAACATGAGAATCTATTAGTAGAGTGCCAAACCCCAAGCCAAGCAGCAGGAATGATGGTCAGTAATGGCAGGGTGGGGGCTGGGGAGTGAGGGGAAGGGCTACGCATGGCCTCCAGTTCATATCCAGTCAGTCAACCTGATAAACATGTACCCAGCATGTCAGCTAGTCATGCTAATGGGCTCTTTCTGTTTTTCTAGGTGGTTTCATCAGTTTTAATGGCTCCTGGAGGGTCCAGGGCATCCTGGCCATGTCTCGGTCCTTGGGGGATTATCCACTGAAAAATCTCAATGTGGTCATCCCTGACCCAGATATCCTGACCTTTGACCTGGACAAACTCCAGCCCGAGTTCATGATCTTGGCATCAGACGGTCTCTGGGATGCTTTCAGCAATGAAGAAGCTGTTCGATTCATCAAGGAGCGCTTGGATGAGCCTCACTTTGGGGCCAAGAGTATAGTTTTACAGTCATTTTACAGAGGCTGCCCTGACAACATAACAGTCATGGTGGTGAAGTTCAGGAATAGCAGCAAAACAGAAGAGCAGTGAACCCTTCAAGGGTCTCAGCTGCCTTACACTAAAGGACTTTCAACACACTGGTCTCTTTTTAATGTAGTGAAAGGTGTGGGAGTTATAATTAGGATCATCCATACCAGGCATGGGTTTCCCCCTCCCGGGTGGTCTTAGATCTATATTCAGTGATGAACAGAGGGTGCTCTCAGCCAGTGTATTTGAGAAGCTGGAAAATGGTTTCTTCGTGTTTCCCCAACAGTTCATGCAACGTTCAAAATATATAAATATATAGCTGTAGATTCACTCGTATGACGTGAATGGCATAGGCCCCATATATCTCCCTTTGAAGATTCTTTTAAAGATCCCTTGCAGGGTCCTGCAGGCATCAGACTTTGTGTCTTCCCTTTGGAGGAGTGGGCTGGGCTGGCCTCCCAGAGCTACAGGAGGCAGGCTGCAGCATCACCTGTGAGTCAGGAGTTGATGTGCCAGCACCCTTTGCCAAGAGGCAGGGCTGCCCTGCGAACATCTTTGTCATCCTGAGCCTGGGTTTTCTGCTCAGCAGCAGCCCAGAAGCGTATTTGGAATGGTTTATTATTCCTTGGCTGCTCTTGGAGACTGAGGGAAGTGGGGAGGATGGGAGATCAGTGGCAGCTGCCTTCACAGCAGAAATCACCCTCTTCCCTGGCACCTTTTATGAGTTAAATAGACTGTGTGTACCACCTGACCAGCCTTTGGGCGTTTATCCTAATCATGCATGAATGACCTTAATAACCTTTTGCTTACGCCTTACCTTATATAATAAAAACAAACAAACAAACAAACTATTGCCGACTCATAGCAATCCTACAGGACAGGGTAGAATTGCCCCATAGGGTTTCCAAGGAGCAGCTGGTGGATTCAAACTGCTGACCTTTTGGTTAGCAGCCGAGCTCTTAACCACTTCACCACCAGGACTTCCCTTTATAGTAGGCAGCTGTTAAACTTGCACCACCAGACAATTTTTTGTTGTCTATTACCAAGAAACCATATTAGGAGAATTGAGAAAAAGCAAATCGCAGTAGGGTATTCAGCCATAATTCCTTCCACCCATAAGGTAGACAGATGAAAAAGAATGCTGAGTGAGTCACAATGCCCCTTGGGAATTCACTGTTTGCATTGTAGAGAAAGATGTGTGCTGGTGAGGTTGCCACCCTGAATTGAGGTCAGTTTGTGTGTGTGTGTTTTCCTACCTTAGTAGCTTTCAAGAGTCTAACAGTGTTCTGAGAAGCAGCAACCTAGAATTGCATCCGTGTTCTTTGAAGCTGGATGCAGGGTTCCCAGCCACGCTGTTTGGAATTTGGTAAACAACTGGGACAAGCTTCTAATTACCGTCCATACCAGGTAGCTTTCCTCAGGCAAATGCAAACTGGCCACACACTGCCTGCAGGGACACCTTGGGGCCACAGGTGCAGTGACCAACACAGCTGGCTGGGAATTCAAGCAACACCATATTGATCAACCTGTCCAGGGTTAGTTTTGGCCCAGGCTTGCTGCTCTCCATTTCCTGTTACCAAAGTCATGTTTCCAATCTCAGTATTTTATAAATTAATTTACAGAAAATGCTGAGTTATCGTGTTTGCCAAATAGGATTTTTGTTGCGTTCCGACCTGCCTGCTGTTTGAAATGCCAGGCGTTTGCCAGGTTTTGTTCTTCCCAAGGGGACAGTGTGGTTACTGCTTCTCCCAGACCCAGTTCGGTCATCCCCTGCTGCGCATGGTGGAGCTTTCCAGAAGCAGGTTCCCAGGGAGAAGCAGGTTCCCAGAAGAGGAGATTCCCTTATGGCTGCGGAGGACTGCAAATCAAAAAAAAAAAAAAGATCGTTGAGAATTAATCATGGTCTTCCAAGAACTCTGGTGGCGCAATGGTTAAAGTGTTGGGCTGCTAATGGAGAGATTGGCATCGAACCCACCAGCTGATCCTTGGAAGCCCTATGGGGTGGTTCTACGCTGCCCTACCAGGTCACTATGAGTTGGAATTGACTCCATGGCAGTGAGTTTGGTTTGGTTTAGGGCATACTTTATTTTCCAGCATTAGAATAACTTTGGTTATTATTAAATTTTTTAGCTATAGAATTTTCTAGTACAAAATATCTCTCACCACTTTAGATTTAAGCATTTGCCTCTTCAGAGACATTGAACTTTTGGATATATGCTTCTAGGGTAGAGAGTGGGGAGGGGTGTGTGGAAAGCAAGTGCTGGTTGTGTGGTTGTGATCAGTGATGCAACAGGTCAGACCAGGGCGCCTGAGTTTCATTGGCAATTTAGGACATCCTGACTCTGGAGGGTTACCAAAGCCACTGACTAACTGAAGTTCAGGGATAAGTGGTTTCAGCCCTTTTCACAGTACACAGTCACTTTTTTTTTTTTTTTAACACAAAAATACATAATAACAAGGGAAATACATTTTAAAATTCCACGATTGTTTTAATTGTCTAAAATATAGTAACATTTTAGTAAAGATAAAAAAGAAAAGCTACAAAATTAGTGTTTATTTACCCTGCAGTTTTTCTTAATAGATGGTGCTGAGGGCAGAAGTTGCATAACTTTCCCTCTAATTGAGGCTCACAAGGCATCTTCTAAATTTTGCTTTGTAGAATTAATTTATTTCTGACTGTCACCAAATAGTGTATTTCCAGACTTCCTTTTTGCCTCTTCCCCACCCCACTTTGGCTTGTAGATTTTTTATAAGATAGGAGTTCTAAACAAAAGCGTCACATTTTGATTAATAATTATGTCTAAAGTCAGAGCTTTGTTTCTTCCCACATCTTCCTGGAGCTCTCTCTCCCTGACCCTTTTCCAGCTGTTCCCCTTTGGCAGACATCATTCCTGGGGTGCCCTGTGGTGCATGCACTGCTCCCAATCTTGGGGGACCCGGGAAGGTTGAATCTAGCCATTAGGGAAGTTGATTTGAGAAGTTGCATTAGAAGCTTCCCTAAATAGCACTGCCAAAGCTTTGGAATTGTCACCTGAGGCTTTCAGGACTCCCTAGCCTGAGTTCACATTGCCAGTAATCCCCATGGTGCCAAATTGTGGGATGGTTTTTACAGTCTTTTCGAAATGAAGCTGGGAATGACCACATGCTTATGAGCCCCCAGCAAGATGCCAAGCCCAGGCCTTCATGAATCACTGCTCTGCTGCTGCTTCATTGGCAATTTGTACTCTTAAAATCTGCTGGGATTGGGGTAGAGGTGGGGTGGGCAGGGAATTTTTTTTTTTTTTTTAATTCACTGTATTTGCAATTCTTTAATCAAAGGAATAAACAATGCTTATATAGAAAGCTCCAAAGCTAGTTCTCAAGCAAGGCCTGCATAATTATTGTTAGTGACCATCTCGCCCAAGGCATTTAACTCTGAAGTCTCTGTTCTAGTACAAGACTATGCAATATGTGCACATTACTGGTAACTGGTGGCTACATTCTATTCCTTGATGTGGATTAAGGATATTGGCCTCTTAAATCTTATATATGTAGTAAGAGTATTACAGCGAGCATTTTATAGAGTGAAGGGGCATATACAAGCTGGATAATTTACAACAGGCCTTACTAGATACAAGTACCTAGGTTTAAGTGTAATGCATGGATTTCAGCCCATGTACATTTTGTGCAAATGGCAAGCACAATTGCCTGAGAGTGATGGAATCGTTTTAAGCTAATCTGAAGTGATCCTGGAACTTGTATGGATCTTATTGGAACAGATCACTGGGGTATCTGGCAACACATGAGGGAATCACAAAAGGAGTGATCCCTTTTTCCTTTACCAGCTACACCTTTATTTTCCTGACTTTTTTTTTTTTTTTCTGGGTAGTTTCCAGATCTCCTAACTCTCTTAGAATTGTGTCAACTCAGAAGGTTTAGGTTTCAAAAGGGCAAGATCTCATTGTGATTTGAAAGCATAGAAATACATACTTTTAATGAGACTTGATTTTCCAGTGATTTCAGAAATGCTTTTTTCCTCCTTTTGACCCATCATTAGATTGAGCTTTCCTTATATTCCCCCAAAATTGCCTTAACACATCACACCAGCATTCCTGACCCAGCTCTAGAGAAATGACTATTAGACACTATGTTGGGGCTTGTTTAATGGCATCTGCATTAAATCACTGGTATCTAGATGTCTGAGCTAGCTAGCTACATGCTGCAGGAGTAATAGAATCCAGTGTTCCCCAAAATATGTTCCACAGGAACACAAGTTCCAAAGTTGGTCTTCCAAATATAGGGTTCCAGAATCAAATGAGTTTGGGAAACATACTATTTTAGAAAGTTAGTGCATACAAGCACATCAAAGGGGCTAAATTAGATGTCCTACAGGGGGGAAAAAGCACACCACATAGGTAACTTCAGTTAGCTTAGTGTTTTTCAGATTAATTTGACCACAGGACCCTATTTTGAGTAATACCTAGTAACATTCCAAGGAATTTGTCTTCTACCGAACTCAGTTTGGGAAATTCCGGTATATCAAAATATTGCTATTTTCTCATTCATTCTGACGCTTGTATATGTAATAAGTCACTGTGACTCTTAGTAGTAATTTAGAAGCACTAATCCTTTCACGCAAGAGGTTGACTTGTTAGTAAAAGCAGTGTTAAGCAACAGTATAATTTAACTTGACCAGCAGCAGCCTCGCATTGATTGAGAACTAAAATTCATGTAAAATAGCAGAAGCCCAACAATCAGACTTCAGCCTCTCAACATCATCTCCCACCTATTAAATGAATAAAAAGCAAGAGCCTTGCCATGGCTAGGCATTTCTCAAATTTATTCCAAGAGTTTTTAGTTGCTTTTTTGCAGTTATCTTTGCTTTCTGGATTGAATCAAAATAAGTCTCTTGACATTTCATCACTATGTGATAGTAAAAAGAAAAAAATGGGGGAAGCATATTTGACTTTAATTCATTTTTAAAATTTTAACTAGATTTTTAAAGTTCTCCATTGTATAATAATGGAAGTGTAAATTTACTTATTTACTCTTCCCTCTGTTCTCTCCAAATTCAATGAATAATTTGAAATCAATTAGAGACAAATTCATTTGAAGATTTCTTTCCCATGTCTCCTGGCTTTTCTGTTTTATGTTTATAGTTAGGTTGGCAAGACATCGCTTGCCTAAAATGTAAGGTTTGACTTTTGCTCCATAATCATCACACTTATTCTGGGCAGTGTGTTTGGGAAAATATGAGAGATATCCCAAAATGGTATGTGAAACAAATCTAGTGGAAAACTTGATACATGGTGAATTTAAGGTAAAGTCATTAATTTAAAATGAGATCCAATGTTTAGGAGCATACGCACTATCCAGATATTTTCCAAAAGAGTAAAAAAAATAGAAAGTAAGATCACTTAGCCTAGTGGCAAATTGTGAAAGCCAAGAGACAGCTGATAACACGAGGCTTCCATTAGCTATGTATTTATAAACAACGTGTTTTTTAATATGTAAATTTTTTGCTGATTCTTAGTAATGTTAATGCTTTGTCCATTACTTTTTATTTTTACCACTGTTAAGCTGGCAAACTGTTTAACCAAGGGTTGATTATGAAAATTTTTATGTGTTTAGTAATAATCACACCATCATATATATAATCACCTTAATAAATTCAACTTAAGGACTTTGAGGAGAGCATGTAATAACTGTTCATTTTACCAAATCACCATAAGGCATTTTCACAATTCAGAACTCCACCAAAAAGCAAGCATTCAGCAAAGGCATAGATTATATTTAGAGACGTAGTTCCAGTAATTCTAAAAGTCCTGTAATCTGGCATTATTTAACCCCCAAATCCCATCTGACATTTGCCAAATCCAAATTAATCTCAAAAATCTCCAACAGCCAGTATTTGTAGCTCTGAGTGCTAAATAGATTACTGTACAGGGTTCTGATAGCAGATTATGGGTGCTGGGGCTGGGGGTTCAGGACAATTTGCCTGGGTCACTCCCTCTGTAGGAGAGGGATTGTGTGTCAGTCACACCCTCATCACCTTTTGTCATGAAGCAATTCAGAAGTTAAATGTGGTGTCTCAAAATAGTTCTACTTCAGTTAAACAATCCATAATTTAAAACGTGTTCATACAGAAGCTAAAGTGGTAGTAGTCAAGGAAATGCAGAGGGGACCCGTTAGGATTGCTAGACATTAACAATGTAAAAAGTAGGTTATCAAAATTTTGGATTATCA